GTGTCCACCTGCAGTTTGTTCTTGGGTAGGGGGTGTCAGGTGACCACCTAGCATGGTGTGAGACAGCAGGGGCTGTGGAGCTGGGCAGCCTGGGTTCAAATGCCAGCTCTTCTAGTCACAGATGCATGACCCAGGGCACTTAAGGTCTCTGGACCTCAACTGCACCATCTGTAAAATGGGATAACAGTAGTACCCACCTCATAAGACTGCTGGAAGGATTAAGTGAGTTAATTCCTGTTAAGTGCTTAAGCCAATGCTTGGCATGAGTGAAGAAGATGCACATGTTGGCTATTACAAGGATGGTGAGATGGTGTGGGTGTGCACAGCTAGGAGTGTGGTGGGAGGCGGTGTCCAGGCAAGATATGCTCAGGGCCTATGGGGGTGAGCACAGGGAAGTGTCTAAGCCGGCTCTCCTAGGGGCCTCCCGGCCTGCTCCGTGATCCTATCCACTTGGCACCTGGTTGCCTGCCATCTCCCAGTGCTGTCCACCCTGCAGGCGACCTTGGCCTGCTGTGGGGGCTGTGCGGAAGTGGAGCTCAGCGAGATCTGTGTTTCAGGGATGTAATGTTTCCTGTAGGGGTGGACAGGCCTGCAGCCAGGCCTTTGGGGCCGACCTGGGGGCATGAGGTGGGAGGAAGAGGGAAGAATTGATGCTCGCAGAGCTCTTGGGCTGGAGTCCCCCCAACAGCAGCCAGAACAGGGCTGGGGCCATGTGACTGCTGTGCAGGTGTCTGGGGAGCAGCTCACCCAAAGCAGAGATGAGGGACAGGCCCCGGGTACCACCCTGCTCACCCTTCCCCCTGGCACTCAGGGCTTCAGCAGCCTGGTCCCTTCCTGCCCACCCCACCCCATGTCCACACACCAGCCTTGCTGCTTTCCCATCCCTGAGTGCCAGAGGAGGCCCCAGCCCTGCTCTTCTTAGCCATAGGCCCAAAGGCCCTCCCCTTACTGTGTTTCCTACCATGAGCCACACCTCTCCTGGCTCTGACTCCCAGGTCCTGTCCTGGCTCTTACATTGGGCTAAGCTGAACCCTGGAGACCAGAGAAGGAGGCTTCCTGGGGTTCCTTCCAAGGGCCATGTCCTTCTTCCCCCTCCCCACCTGACTCTGGGGCAGCTGGCCCCTGGGGCTGCCTGGTGGGGGAAATGTCCCCAGTTCATACTAGTTGACACTGTGTCCCTTCCCTGGGCCCCTCAGCCACATCCAGAAAACCTCAACTCCAACTTGACCCTACCCTGCCCTGAGTCAGCAGAAAACCTAGGGTCTCTCCTAGGGAGACTGAGCCCACATGGGCAGTGGGGCCTTCCTCAGATGTGTCTCTGCTAGGTCAAGGCAGAACCCTTCCTCCATGGGAATGTGGCCCTAAGGCCCTCTCTGCCTCTCCCCTCAGCCCCTTCCTCATTCTTCCACCTTTAAGCTCCCAGATCTGGCTCCTTAATCTTAGCCTCAGCAGCCTTTTAGCACTGGCCACGTAATGAGCCATGTACATCCACCATCTTCTTTGGTCCTCACAGCTACAGCCACCCTAGGAGGTGCTATTATTATTGTTTCTGCTTTAGAGAAGAAACTCAGGCACAGAGAGGGTGAGAGACTTGCCCAAGGTCACACAGCTGGACTGCTCTACTTCCTCTAGGACCATGAAAGGACCTGTGTCTCCCTTCCCATCCTGAGCCTCCCTCCCACCCTGGCTGCCTGTCTCCTGTTTGCCCTCCTCACCCAAACACTTCGGGAAGATGTTTTGTCTAGGCCGGCTGTCTGCTCACTGCCAGCCCCTGTAGTCTGGTTCCTGTCTCCTCCCCACATCTACATATCCCCCTCCCAATAGAGGGACTGCTCTGGGTACATCTGGTTGCTCAGTGGTCTGCACGACTGTTCAGCGGCGCCCATGGGCTGACCGCTAACTACCTCCATCCAATCCTGCAAGGCTGCCTTGGAGACCTGCTCTCGCTGACCTGCTGCCTCCCTGATCTCTTCTGTCTCCTTCCTGAGCTCCTCAGATGCTGCTGTCTGGGGCCCCTTCTGCTGTCTCTCTGCCCCAGCCCTGATTCTGCCCTGGTCCAGGCACTTCCCCCAGATAAGCCCAGCTGCCCCTGCTTGGAAGCCTAGCCCAGCCACCTGCCATGGGCATGGCCGCCACAGCCACAGCCCTGCACTCGGCCTTCAGGAGCATCAGTTCAAATGCAGCGAGTCCAGGGCTGGGAGGGCACCTGGGAGACAGGCAGGGGACTGGAGCCAGGCCCTCCTCAGAGCCAGCAGAGGCGAAGCAGGCAAGCTCCTGTGGGAGCCATTTGCCAAAGTGCGTAGGATATGTTGGCCGCTATTTAGGGTGCTGTAATATTCATGAAGGGAAGATTAGATATTTAAATTTATTCAGCAATAAATGCGTCTCAGTGGGGGAGCATTCCTCATGCTAAACAAACAAGCAAGCAGGGGCTAATTAATTATTTACAGGAACACAAGGAGGCCTGTGGCCTGGGGGAGAGGACGGCAGCTGTACCCCTGACAGAGGGCAGGAGACCCTGACCGGCCCTGGGCCTGCCCCTCCCCTCTCTCTTCCCCCCGTTCCCTTCCACTGTCCTGTGGGTCTGGACTCTTGCGGGCCCCCTTCTGGGATTTCTCCTTCCAGAAATCCTGCACACGAGCTTGCTGGTGGCTTTGGACAAGTCATTCAACCTCTCTGAGCCTCAGAAAGTTGTGGGGAGGACTGAGGTTTGCTGAGAGGTGGCTGGGGGGCTGGGAGACTAAAGGCCAGAGTGATTAAGCAGCTCCTTCAAGATCTCAAATTTATAGGAGGGCTGATGCTCAGGGCCACCTCCACAGCGCCCATCTCACAGGAGGAGGAACAACGGCTCACAGCGGCAAAGCCGCTCTGTCAGCCAGGTGGGGGTTATGAGGCCTTGCCTGGCAGCCTTCAGCTCTTCTTGGACTTCTGTGGGCTCCCAGGGGAGGGGAGGGAGGGGACGGGGCCTGGGCAGTGTACACACACACACATACATACACGGCATATGACCTAAGCAGCACCAACCACAGCTTCTCCATGAGATCTGTTTTTATGGCTAATGAAATAGCCTAACAGCCAGGATTTTCCCTACAGTGGAATAGGTGGGCTCTCAGATCGGGTACCCAGCCCCTGGGTGAGATGTCTAAGTGGGAAGTAGTCCTGGGGCCCAGACCCAGGTGCCTTCCCAGGCTGGAGGGGCCCTCATAGCCTCTGAAATGAGCTCACTGGGGCTGTGTGGGGGCACGGCTCCAGGTGGCAGAGCAGACCTGGCCCCGTGAGACCCAAGGCCCCCTCCCCACTGCTAGTCCACCCCTTTGCCGGGTCACGTCACCCCTCTGCACCTCAC